TTCCGTGTTCACAGGAAATGTACAGTTTCCACTTGTTACATGCATACAATCTCTTTACAAAATACACTGACGTAGGTTTACTTAACTTCTTGGTTAGGTTTAGGAAAAGATTGAGGTTTGAGTTAAAATATGTATGCTTGTAACGTAACTGGCGTCAGTAATATACGTATGTTGCATAAAAACAAAACTACAGTAAAATAAGTCAACGTTGACTTTTGTTTTCACACAGGACTCAAACCGTGGTCCCCCGGGTTAAAGTCCTGTGTTTGTTTGAGTCATCCATCCATCCTCCCCTCCCACCTGCCCTAAGCTGACTTTCTAGCTCTTTATACTCCGTCAGTTGCTCTGACCATCTTATAAAGACACGGATGCATTTACATTGAAGTTAGCTGATCCCCATACAGACGTTTAAGGGTGCATCGGTATCTGTTTCATATCTACGTGGATGATACCCAGTTGTACACCCCGGTTAAGCCTGGCACCAGCACTGTTTTGTGTATCATGTCCTGCATTGCCGACGTAAAAAAAAAAACTTCCTGGAATTAAATGACTCCAAATCCGATGTAATTATAATGACCCCTGCTGGCCCCAGCACGAGCTGCATCTATAAACTCTGCTCAAGTCTGGGCGCTTTATCTCATAATGTTCAGCACGAAGCCAGGTGTCAACTTTTAATTCCGAACTGAATTTGTGACGATCAGGCGACCAAAGGTGTGCAGTCCTGCTTTGCTCAATTGAGACAGCTCAGCAAAATCAGGTGATTCCTTTCACCTGCAGACTAGAAAGAGTCATTCGTGCTTTCATCTCTTCTGGACTTGACTACTGCAAGGTGACCGGGCCTTTGCTGTCCGGGCCCCTCAGCTGTGGAACTCCCTGTCTGGAGATCTAAGTCATGCAAACTCAGTATCCTCTTTCAAATCTCCTCTGAAGACTCACTTTTACAGTTTGGCATTAACAGATTTTATGTGTTAAAGCACTTTGTAACTTTGTTTTGAAAGGTGCTATATAGATAAAGTCATTCTTATTATTATTGACCAAGCATGGTATTTGACGAGTTGGGATGGAGAACGGGTCGTCCTCATCTACGCTTTAAACCTCATAACAGCAAAAACAAAAGTTTAATGACTGGATATTACTCTTAGATTCTAAGAGACATAAACAGTTGTGTTTTCAACATTGACACATTTTACCTGATATATCTCTATAAGGAGTTCTTCCTTATCCACTAGTCTATAACTAGTCTATAATCATGCACTCTATAACCTCTCTCATGGGTTTGTTTTAATCAATACACGGGAGAAAATACATCATTTGTAAACCGACACTCGTTACATTTACACCGACATAATGGTTAAGTACCAAAGATGTGGACTTTGTAGGTCCACGACCATTAGAAACACAACTCTAGTGCAAATTCCAAATGGAGGGATTGTCCCTCAGAGGGCTCAGAGGACATGCTGCAGAGGCCAGAAGAGTTGTGTCAGTTAGCTGAAAGGAATCCTGAGATTAAGGACCTGTCAATAATAACCTGGAATTCAAGGCAAGACAGCGATCTTGGCTTACACACCAGTCCTCACATAAGACAGCGTCGGGGTTCCTCATGCCAGCTGTGGCTTGCACTCACTCTAAAAGTGGCCTTCACTTTAAGATCCAACGCACCTGACCAGAACATTATAGCGACGGATCTCGACACAGGAAAAAGCTAGAGCTGACCCGTGAGCAAATATTGTAATGCACGCAATCTGGAGGCAGGGAGTTTCCTCTTCGTCAGCCGTGTCAGATGCGTGCTTTCTCTCTCAGCAACCATACAACTAGCTGCATCTCAGAAGCTTGACCAGCTTGTGTTAGCGTACCAAATCATAGCCAGAGCCTTGTCCTCGGTCGTTCTGTCCCTGTTTGACCAGTAAACAGAAAGTAAAAGTGCTGATGAAGACAGAAGCGCTCTGCTGTGGTAGTGATGCGCTCTAAAACACTGACAACCACAGTAATGACAGTGTTGCTTTCATCTCCAATGCAAAGTCCCACAACTATTAAGCCATTGTAGATACTTAGACTGACAAGTGTGTCTAATATTGTGTTTGATTACAGATATGCAGAGGTGTTACAGAATGTAATCTGTTGAAAAGAGCTGAGGTGTAAAATGGACGCGCTGTGATTGAAAGTGTCGCTGCAGTCGTATCTACAGTGCTGCTGGCAGAAATAGTCATGTATGGAGGGAGTTGATCCAGGGAAGATTGTGGAAATCCAGCACTTAGTCCTCCCCCTGCCTCCTTGTCACGGCTCACCTAATGACACGTCAACCCCTCTGAAGCCTTTTTCTCTGAGACTCCCTGTAATTGTTCATCTCTGGTGGGTTTTCAGTCACACTACGCGGAAACAGTCAAAGCTTCCGTGGATTGCGTGTGTTTTCTTTTCCATATATTTGCCAGAAATTAGCTGTCAATGAGATTGAACACACACTGAAAGGCAGACAGACTGGATGTGTCCGGTTCGAGCCGTCGTCCGTGTGCATCCGCATGGATGCTGGCGCTGATGGGATTCATGTTGTTCTGGATTTCGTTTGAGAAAAGGGAGGAAATCAGGGGCAAGTACAGCCTGACCGCTGCTCTCCCTGTAATTTACTTGTGTGCTGAGGCAGGAGGGAGTGGTTCGTACCGCTCCGGTCTCCCAGGATTCACTGCGTTCAATCTTGGCACATGTTTGGCCTCGATGTGCAATCAGTGAAGTTGTGAAGACCGGTAAGGAGTTGTTCTCCAGGTGTTTGCATTTCAGTAACCACACGGAATCAGTGAAGAACCACAAGAAACATGTTCCGGATAATCTACAGGGAGCTGCTGCTTGTGGTGTGCATTATTTTTGATAACCGCAGGGATATTCTTCTACCTTCTCGAGTATCGTTGACATCAGGCCGGCCTGGATTCTAGACCCCGCAACGGTAACTGGAAATATGATGAAGAAAATATCACAGATAGTAGAGCGAGATCGGCATCCTTCAATGTCCCGTACCAGTTTACAATATTTATTTATTTACTGCTGCTGAGCTTAAAGACAGACCAATTTGCTTTACAATGCTAAAATACAACATATATCTTTTAGGTTACTTTATTTGACTTCAAATAGGTCTGTTACTCTATGTTTTATTTGTAAGCTGCTCTGTACGATGAACCTAAGCTTTTTGATCCGTGGATGCTTTAAGTATTAAGCCTGGTTTCTTTTGAATGTGAACGTGAATCTGTTGTGTGAGAGCTTCCTCATTGGTTTGTTGTATTGCACCAGAAAGGAACCGATTTAACTGGCTGCGCCACAACAGCAGCTGGCTCCAGTCTGCCCCTGTGGTTTACACTGGAACCGCCACCGAGCGATGCCGGTCATGTTTGGCTCCGGATGATGGAGACAAATAGCATGAACGTGAGAGTGGAGCCAGGTGCTTTCTGTTGTTACAGCATGGGCAGATTATGAAACAGTAGGCCCCTGGGCAAAGACATGCAACATGCCCCACCACCTCTACATAGATACACAGACTCTTTAGTTGTTAAGCCTCTTTTTGTAGTTGTTTTGTGTCTCTTTGTAGTTCTTTTGTGTATCTTTGTAGTTATTTTGTGTCTCTTTGTAGTTGTTTTCAGTCTCTTTGTGGTTATGTTCAGTCTCTTTGTGGTTGTTTTGTGTCTCTTTATAGTTTTGTGTCTCTTTGTAGTTGTTTTGTGTCTCTTTGTAGTTGTTTTGTATCTTTTTATAGTTGTTTTGTGTCTCTTTGTAGTTGTTTTGTGTCTCTTTGTAGTCGTTTTGTGTCTCTTTGTAGTCGTTTTGTATCTCTTTGTAGTCGTTTTGTATCTCTTTGTAGCCGTTTTGTATCTCTTTGTAGTCATTTTCAGTCTCTTTGTGGTTATGTTCAGTCTCTCTGTGGTTGTTTTGTGTCTCTTTGTAGTCATTTTCAGTCTCTTTGTGGTTATGTTCAGTCTCTTTGTAGTTGTTTTGTGTCTCTTTGTAGTTATTTTGTGTCTCTTTGTAGTTATTTTCAGTCTCTTTGTGGTTATGTTCAGTCTCTTTGTAGTTGTTTTGTGTCTCTTTGTAGTTTTGTGTCTCTTTGTAGTCATTTTCAGTCTCTTTGTGGTTATGTTCAGTCTCTTTGTAGTTGTTTTGTGTCTCTTTGTAGTCATTTTCAGTCTCTTTGTGGTTATGTTCAGTCTCTTTGTGGTTGTTTTGTGTCTCTTTTTGGTCATTTTGAGTCTCTCTGTAGTTCTTTTGTGTTGTTTTGTGGTCATTTTAAGTCTCTTCCTAATTAGTACGTGTGTCTTTGAGTGACATTTTGCAGGTGAAGGACTCGGGGCCCCTGAGCTTGTGGCCGATAGGCCGGTTGAGTAATTCACTGCAGGTGCACTTATTTCTGAGCGTTGTGTTCTCAAAGATACTGTATAACTCTGGCTGAAAATGAAAGTTGTAATATGCACCATAATCTTGCAATGTTCTTGTCACAGAAATCCGGTTCACACATACCAAGTTTAAAGCGTCAGTCTCTGCTGTGGCTGCTGCTTATTTTGTCAGTTCAGGTAATGGGTTTAGTGCGTTTCTCATTTTGCATGCTGAGTCCACGCTGTTGTGTAAACTTGATTTAGGATGGAGTTTCTTCCATATCTGCAGTGCGTGTTGGAATGCATGTCACTGTGCAAAAACAGCAACTATCTTTCTTGTGGAAGTCCAGATATGAGGACTATATTGGAGTTTCAAATAGATGAGAATGTAATATTTCTCAGTAGGAAGGTGAGCCATATTGAAGAAAGAAAATTTGTATTAATGTTGGCTATTTTTAAAAACAAAACCTCTATAGTCTTGAAAAAGCATGAAACACAAGCCCATGGTAAATTAAAATAGCGAGGTGGACCCGTCACCCCCACCACGTTTGGAACAGCAAGCTTTAATGAACTACATTGAAATGCAGACTTACAGGCGTCACACGACCACAGAACCTCTGTTTTAACGTGGGCTCTCTCGTCTCCTTGCAGGTGTCCCTCTATGATTGTGTGAGGTCGTAGCCGTTCAGCAGCAGCATCAGGACCAGAGGAGAGCGCACCAGCAGTCCCACCATGGACCTGAGATTCAGAGGGCTGTGGCCTCTTACCAGGGGAGCTCTTCATCTCCTGCTGCTGGCCAGACTGGTGCTGCCTTCTCACGCAGAGAGTGAGTACTAACATTATCCACACAGCTCTGAGCTCTGCCCATACGTCAACCCGTTCACAGACAGGTAGGATCCATTAGCTGCCATGGGGTCTGCAGAGAGTATGTGACTGAAATACAGGACTAGATTTTCTTAAGAGACATTTTGACTTATAGACATTATCATTGCACTACCAGAGACGGATACGTCTCAGCGTCACTTCTCCGCATTCCAAATAGGATAACTTCTGTTCACTGTCTGAAAAGAACCAACATGCCGATTGCCGTGATCCAAGTTGATCGATCCACAACCAATGAGTGACGTCACGATGACTGCGTCCACTACGAATATAAAGTGTGTGGTTGCAGCTTTGCCTTCAGATGGTTTTGCCTTTCTTTGGTTTATTTATGGCTGCTCGAGCTAGCTGTTCTGCTCAGGTTGTCTGTTTATTGTCCCAGCTCCTGCTAAACCAGGTGCTCTGCTCCATTCAGAGTCAAAGGGTTATTTAATAGGCTTTGTAGTTGTGGTAATTGCCGTTGCCTCTGTTGAGTGCAACACTGTAAAGGGAGGTGTCAGCGGAGCTTATTGTACCACAAGTGAGTACTTTCTGTTGGACTCTCTTACATTCCCCTTCCTGGTGTGCTTTAGCGTGTTATTTACTACCAGTTTATTTTACATTTGTTTGTCTCCTGTTTGCAGAGTTGGATAGAATAGAACCCCTCCTGTGTTCAGCTGCAGCCTCTCCCCTAATTACTGGTGCACATTTTATTGAAGATTTTTTCATCAGTGAAAGCATTCATATTTTAACATTTTATAATATAGAGTATTGTGTTTTTTGTAGTGAAGTGGAGGAAATAGGTGGTGAGATACTTCAGATTCTTACTATTTATTCTTTGGGTTGGAGTCCTACGGTGGCATTGTTGGTATTAATGAAACCTGGTACAGCTCTCTCTCAAGACTTCCAACCAAATTACATATGCGCTGTCAATTAGGGTAGCTCTTCCACCAAGGCTTGAGATCCTAAAAGCTTCTCCTGGTACCGTCTCCTCTGAATAACACACACAGGAAGCAACAAGCTAGCAGCTTTATCTTTCCCTGGAGAATCACTCCTTGTTAAATCTGAATAGTTTACCAGAGGTTTGGTTTATAACAATGTTACACAGCTGGTGGGCACCGATGTGTTTCATCTCAAGCTTTTCTTTTCAAAAGGCAGACTTTCATATTGGTGCTGTAGACAGAAGAAAAGCCACATCTTTCATGGTATCTGCTGTTATTATCTTCTTTAAAAGAAATACTAACTTCTGCCAATGACGAGCAACTGACAACGATAGTATTTGGTAAACCAGCCAATCAAATAACAGCAGGGCAACAGGCATTCAGCCCTGCATGGCATCAAGTTAGTGCCATCTGCTTTCATTAGGAAAGGCTTTGGGCGTGTGTATTGTGTATTTATTCAAACTATTCTCAGCCACTCACCCTAACCTATAGACCAGGGGTCCCCAACTGGCCAGACGCAGTTGCATCTGGACCCAGGATGTCAAACCGATAGATAATTTGGAAATTTACATATTACAGAGCCAGTTTATACTATAACCGGCCAACTTATTCAGCCGTTACGGCACTTGTTCAGCGGTGCAGGAAACACACCGACCAATGCATTGTAAATCACATCAGGTGATGCAGCTCAGCCAATCAAATATGAGTATTCTGACATGTTTCCTGACTTGAGTGAGGTTTACACACACCTTGACACACGGTGGAGAGACGAGGAAACAGAAAGAAGAGCAGGAACATTGCGCTGATCAGAGAAGTTATCTCACAAGACGTTCTCCAAAAAGAGAAACGTGTTCAGAGAGAATATAATTTATAAGCAAGAATGAACAGACTCTTAAATGTTAATGCTTCCCACAGGCAGTTAGAACCAGCATGTCTCATATGTCCAGAAACCGTAACTATTGATAAAAGCGGCAAATGAAGCGCACTACGAGACAAAGCACAACTCTCTTGAGCAAACGTACCCACTCACATCTAAATGAAGACACAGAAAATAAACCTAAGAGTCCAATATGATCAGAATCCTAACACATGAATTCACTGTTCAACAATGATGTAAACAGAGAATAGAGCTGAAACAAGTGTTAATAACCACAGATAAAGACCATGCTCACTGATTTATCTTTTTAGATGACAAAGTATAATATTGTGGCTGTTTTATTGACATCACTTCACACCTGAATGAAGTAAATTTAAAGCTGCAGGACAATTCAGTGAAATACATTTTTATAAAATGTATTACTTTATTTTAAGATGCACATTTTTGTTAGCTTTCTGTTATGTCAGTTATTCTTTATTCCAGACATTATTGTACTTGAAATGAGAAGAACATTTATTTATGTATTATTTATAATCCATCCAGTTAAATTTTAAGAGTGAGAATAATAATTGTTAAATATAATTGATGTGTACTTTCTTTATTTGATTTGACAGTTGTTGACTACACAGAGACGTTGTTACTACTACTAGACTTCTTGAATATATATATATATTATATATATATGCCACTAAATAGCTTGAGTTAGATATTATTGTAATGTTTCGGACCTTTGCCCGAGGAGATTTTCTCAATCTGGACCTTTTGGGATTTTAGTTGAAGACCCCTGCTGTAGACTAATGATTGACAACAGCCAGAACTGTGTTTATGTCATGCAATTATCCAAAATGATGTTCATTTCTAAATGACTCTGTACCACTAAAACCCTACTTTGTGAGTTGTTGCATTTGATGTAATTCAAATTCTCTATAATATTTGAACTGATTTGTTTTTCATATGGCCGTGATCATGCAGAATTAGTTAAACAGAGTTGAAATGTATTCTTAAATAAATATATGTGGTGTTTTAAAAAGGGGTAACAAAACTGTCACATTCCACATTCCAGCTAAAACGTTAGATGACTTGAGAGGAGAGATATCAGGGGAAATAAGGGGTGCAAGTTGTTACAGCCAGTGCTGTAGGACATAATTAAATATGGTCAATAAACCCCAGGACCAGGCTTCACCTTGTTCTAAGAACAATGAGAGAAACCCTGAGCTACAGAAGCGATTGGAACAGAGGCAAGCTCAGAGGTGACGCCAGGATGTCGGCTCACTTTTACACTTGACCTATTTCTCAGAATGTTGGATTCAGTTGTGACCACTGTGCCTGTGTATCTACTCTGTTACTCCACACAGCTATACCCTGCATCCATCAGAAGGTCAATGATATTCTGAGCACTGACTCCGACATGGTGGAGGTCATGGCTGGGGTTGGAGACTAAAAGATGATGTGCATGAATTGACTAGACCCTGGCTAATGCAATGATGCTTCTTTGGTTCTCCCATGAGGATGCCATTGAACCAAGTGGGCTACGTGTAATGAGCACAACATCGTATGTGGGGATGGCAAATTGGGTAGAGGTGAAAGGTTTAGTAGGCACATTAAGAAAATGGAATTTCATATTAGTCTAGTCCGAAAGGGAAATGGGTTTAACATTATTACTCAGCTGAAGGTAAATGAATTAAGGCTGGCCTTGAGACACAGACTCAAATGTGACCAGTGCTGCCTGGCAGTTAAAGAAATGTTGGAGAGTCATTTTGGATTTTCTAGACACTGCATGTAAAAGGTGGAAAGTGACTGCGTCATAGTTTGAGGTGTGGGGCCAGTGACCACGCTTAATAAGTTAAGTTAAATAATAAAATAAGTTAATAACAATAACGCATGAAAATGAGCCTATTTCAATTCTACACTATCTACTGTGTACATGTGTTTGACAGTAGTAAGGCTCGGAATGTCCCATCAACATGGTTCTTATACCACTCAATTCATATTCATGTGTAAAGTCCTTTGGACATACAGACGAATATCTCAAACAATGTCCTAGAACTGTTACAGTCGGTTTATTCTGGACCCAAACGCAGACACCGCGACAGCAGAGCGTTCCGGTGTCGGAATGAACGGCTCATGGGCACGCGGAGCTGGAAAGGGGGGAGCCGAGGGGGCGGCACAGGTGGATCCGCCGTGGTAGCAGCGGAAACTCCGGGGGCAGAGAGGTGAGTCGTGACCTGATCCATTTGGCTGCTGAGTTGAGACACGCTGGTGGAAAGGGCTCGTAGAGTCTCCATTACTTCCCGGAGGATTGTCTCATGCTGGCCGATCAGAGTGCCCTGGGAGGCCAGTGCTTGACGAAGGAAGTTCGTGTCCGCTGGGTCCATGATGGCCAGATTGTTCTGTTACGGTCGGTTTATTCTGGACCCAAACGCAGACACCGGGACAGCAGAGTAGGTGAGTAAAAAGGGTTTTATTTGGCTTGTGCGTGGAGCCGGTGGAGCAGCGAGGCTGTGTGTGCGGCGGCGTCTGGGCGGCGACGTGGCACGGGACTCGCTGAGGCAGAGGAAAAACACAAGTTAGTTGCAACGTCAAAAAGGCTAACTTGCTCTAAGAGAAGATCTAAACTCAAAGGGGCCGAGGTGTAGCTACCACTGAGCTGAAGGAACAATGTGGCGATGAGACTGAAGGAAGCCGGGGTATTTGAGCTGAAGGTGATGAAGGTGTAATTGTTGTCAGGTGAGGAGATGAGCCCAGGTGCCGGATGATTGCAGCCGCGCTCAAACCACACACACACACACACACACACACACACACACAGGCAGACAACAGAGGGGAGACAAGCTGAGGTCATAGCGGAGCCGTGACAAGAACATGAATATTAGCCCTTCTCTTTAGTTAGGAGGGAGGGGTCAAACTTACACAAGATCTTCAAACCAGGAGACCCAAGTTTCACTTACACTTTACCAACGTACTCATTGTAACCCCAACCAAGATCTTTTCCCAAACTTAACTATTGGTTTTGTTGTCTAAACCTCAGCAAGTGTTTTTGTTCAAATTCACAATTTCAACCATGTGTTAACTGTGACCGTAGTGGAGCGTCATAGTTTAACATGCTGGACTGCCCAGTGCATGAGATGCTAAGGGTCCTGACCACAGACT